TTTTGGCTGATTGTGGCCTCTCTGATCCCAACCATTGGCAGACTGGTGTGCCTTATGTCCCCCTCACGCCTGACGTGCTTGCCGCTGCTTCGGCGTGCTCGTTTCGTCCCACACCCCTCGTCAGACGGCGGCCTGATCGATCGTTGTTCCTCAAGCGTGGTGTTTTCGGCCTCGCCAGTACGTCCGTGAATCAGTGTGTCACACCGGTCACGTGAAATTCGGTCAGCGCCTTCCCCTCTATCCGCGAGCGTCGGCAGTCGACCCCGTGTGACTGTTTTCATCCGTGCTATTGGTCCTGCCTGGACTGACAAGAGCCTTGCGCGGAGCGCCTGGTAGGCAGGATGTAGGTCTATGGCTCGGTTGGGCGTGCCAGACAACCGGACAACCACATCACACAAATACACACTAGGTCAACTGCAAGACCCCAGTTATCTTGCCAATTGGGAACCATCCAAACAATGGCCTTTAGCGTTTTGTGGAGGTATCGAGCGCATCAGTTTGTTTATATAGTGGAGAATGCGTTGAGAGTCGATCTCTCTCTCCCTCTCTCCCTCCCTCCCTCCCTCTCTCCCTCTCACTCTCACTCTTCCCTCCCTCGTGAAAAGGTCTTCTGTCCGAACCGGTGAACCAACTGACGCTTAGGTTGTGAGAGGTGTCTGACCGAGTTAGGAACAGCCCTTCTGCGCATGTCACACACAACCTGATTCCCACCAAGTCCATACCAGTCTTTTACACAAAAGGGGGTAGGCGGCCCGGATCTCACATGCAGCAAATGTGCGACATGGAGAAGAAGTCAAATAACGGACTTCCCACTTGCTTGGAAGGCGCCTACGTAATGCCTCCGGTGTGTGGTACTGGACGTGTTCATGTGTGGTGCACGTGTTGGTGGGGGTTTGTGTGGTAGTGTAGTCTAGTCTGTTGCGATTTGCCGCAGATTTTCGCGGCAAAAGGCCTTGCTGGCTTTGGATACCCGCTGAACCACATAGTCTACTTTATTGTCATGTGAAAGTGTGCCACACAAATAGACGAAATTGTCCACGACCTTCATTTGGGTGCCGTTGTCGATGATACGAGGTCCGTTTTATGCAGTGTTGGGTGATGATGGATACATGACCACCGTTATGACCGTGTCGATGACCAGCTAGAAGTTGGCGCAGCCGGCGGCGACGAAGTCCATGCTTCGTTGCATATCTGCTTCTGTCGCGGTGTTGAGCGCGAAGTCGTCCCCGAAGAGAAGGTTGTGGGCATTAGTCGTGGAATGATGCGTCGAGACCTGCATCCACGGTCTATTGAAAAGATGGCTATCAGTGCTGTAGACGATGCGATTATGAGGGCGCCGATCAGGTTGGCGTCCATTATGCGTGGCATAGAACGCGAGTATGAAGAGGGTGGGAACGAGGACGCAGGCCTGCTTCGCCCGATGATTACTTCAAATGTTTGTAGCGTGTAAGTGGAGAAAGAGTGTAATCAGTGTGCTACAATCAGCATAAACATACTCATTCACGCACACACGACATTTCGACTATCGTGGCGTCGGTGTCCGCTGTGTGGTGCACAGAAGAATGGGCGCAGGGACGGTGACCTCCGCTGGAGTTGGTATAACGTGATAGTTGACGTTGGCTGCACAACTGCACTCCCTCCTCCTCCTCACCCACCTAGCTCTGCTTTCATGACAGATTCAAGAGGGCCCGTGGAAGGATAGGGCGTGTGTGATTGGCGCGGCATGTGTCCGCACCCAGGTGTGCAGCCACACCACCTGATCTACACAACAACGACCACGATTTCAGGCACGTGGAGACTGTTAAAATCTGAACAAAGTGAGTGTTCCATGAAAGCCACATTAAGAAGCAGCCATTATGCCCTGGCGCCCAGCCGACCAGTCGGTCACTCCATACAAGCACACACTTGACTGACTGCGAGGCGCAAGTAAAATCGTCAATGGACAACTTTTCGAACCACGACCTTCAGCGCACAGTGCTAGTCTCAAAGGCGTCAAATTGTTTATCTTGAGGGATATGCACTGAACGAGTCGACCTACCTCTATCTTCCCGCTTTCATGTATTGATTAACTTTCCAGACCTATCGGTCGGCTGATGACGCGACATGGTGCAGTGGTTGCCAGGCCAGACAGATAGACAGCCCGTCTATACCAAGGGCATGTTTCTCCCCTACATTAGATGGGTATGATCTGACTGGGGACGTTATGTCAGAAGTAGCAACAATGGCGATGAAAGTTGCACACTTGTTACCGAAGAGGAGCATGATTGTTATGGACCGGAGGGCGTGGTCTGGAGAGGGTTCATATGTAGTGTAGGGATGTGTGTATGTGGCGGGTAGGGCGAGGTTCGTTCTCACGATAAACGTTCATTAGCATTGCGGAGAACATGGGACTGAGAAAGATCGCAGCCCCGCATCATCCCATTGGTCAACTCGAATGCCTTGCAGATTTCGTCGTTGTCCGCTACGCAAAGTGTCAAAAGTGTCTCAAGTTGCCTAACCACTTGAGCGAATCCCCTGGGACATCCGAATAGCTCCACGATTTTCTAGAGGCCATTGTGAATCACTCCGTCGAAAGCGGTTGAATTTGGTATAGATGTTGATCCTGACTACCTATTTCCTTCCCTGCAGTTCTCGGGCCGTGCGAAGGTTATTTCGACATTCTGCGGTGGTTTTGGAGTCTGCACGGCGTTTCTAGAAGAAATCGCTTTATCGAATGCGTATTCAGTCTACTGAGTAGGATTAGAGTGAAGATATTGCTTTATTGCTTTGACCTAAGCGTGAGGACATCGGCGTCTCGGTGGGATTGGATCTCACGACAGCAAGGGAAAGGTTTTAGTACAGCCTAAACTCTAGCCACCGGACATCAGTGCCTCCTGTAATGACTTTTCCAAGTTCCTGTTAGTCCGCCCTCTGTTGAGGCGTTTTTTACCATTCACGCACATGAACTCGCAGCACCTCGTCGTGTCATGCTCAAACCAAATCTGCGCATAGAATATACATCTCGAAGACTGTCACTTGAGGCTTCGCCACTGCTGTCAGAGGATTGAGCAAGAGAAGACGAGGTGCTGTGAGAGTGGTACAAAGATGCTTCAGCACAGGATGGCGTAACGGACCCGTAAACAGAGGGCGATTCGCGAAGCGACACAGGAGAACAAGTTTCACAACCTGCTTGATCCAGCGTCATCGATAAACGACAAATTTGGTGCCAGAGTGTTATCAAAGAAACTAACAGAGTGAGAAATGCAGGTGCTAAGACACGACGCCCATATTTAACATAGCTGATGTTGACACGGTTGCAGCAGGGGAGTCCATCGTCAGAGAGACGAAGCGACAGATGAAACGACAGTTCGACCGTGGCTGCTGACGACGTTCAAGGTCTGCTCCACAGCAAAGTGAGGCAGGCAGAGTGGCTTGCGCGTAAACTAGTTCTTCGACACCTGGTTTCCTGTCGGTAGATGTGCTTGCACTCTCGCTGTGCGCTGGTTGCCTAGTCGTCCCCCTTCTTCTAACCCGTCGAAGTCTTTTTTGTTGTCGTTGGTTGTGTAGAATCCAGGTCAATTGTTGATTGGTCCAGGATGTGTAGTAGAGGACTAATGTGCGAACTTGGCCGCGCCATCCACCTACGCCCTCTCCCACCTACGGTATTTTTGACTTTCTCCTGACAGCGGACTCAGGTGGGTGATGGGGAGGGAGTGTGGTAGATACTGCGCAAGTTTACAATCACCATAAACTAATGCACGCGCTAGTCACCGTGCCTGCTTCATTTTGCCGTGGAGAACACGGTAGACATCGCCGAATGCGATGGTCGAGCTGTCATTCATTCACCGCACTCTCCTCCTCCCCGCCTCTGCCCGGTGTCAAGACATAGTCGAGAAGACCGGAGGCGAGAGAGGCTGCAGGTGGCTAGCGCGGCCGGACCTGCAGCTAGGTGCGCCACCACACACCCTGGCCCACAACAAACACTTGACCAGGAGGTTAACCAAAAACAAAAACGGATCAGAAAGAGAATGGGGACGGGGCAAATATCCGCATGACCTGTATTCCCAGCGGGAGCACAAGCGCATTTCCGGTAGACAACCATGGGCTGGTCCACACCAGGCCGCGGAGCGACAGTTTGCTGAAGCATGGCATAGCAGGCGCATACAGTCATTAAGATCTAGCAGGGCGACTAGAAGCTCTGCATGTAGCCTGGTCAAGAGACGAAACAAAACACCTCATTTGACAGCCTCGTCTTGATTCATAGGCCATGCGAATTGCTTTCTCAAATCGTACGAGGTATACTACCGGAACTCAAAGTCGATAAATACCTCGTTATCTTTCTTCCGGATAGTGTGCGTTCCGCTGTCGTATTGGACAGGACAGACTTCTTTTAGAAAGCAAAAAGCTTGCTGGTGGATCGTCAAGTCTATGTCCCAACCTTGTAAAAACGCTGACATGCGAAATCATGCTACTCTGTTGGGATGGAGAACTCAGATGCCATGTCGTCGGCTGGCCTACCGACACAAGAGCCGACCTTGGCCCAATCCTATGGTCTGTCAAAATGGCACAAAATGGGTGCTCCTCTCCAGCCCATCGTTCCACTTAAAGGTACTCCAAATGACGGAATGGCAAAGTGGCTGTATCGACGTCTGAAATTCCTGACCACTGATTCGGGCACCATAGTCAACTCGTCAACACAATTCTTGGAGAAACTTAAAGGGTACATCTTCTGTCAACCAACGTCATGGTATATTTTGATGCCACTTCCCTTTATGCTTCTGTTCCGCAGCACCTCGTAGTTGAGAGCATCGAATTACCCCTACGAGACAAATACGATGAAACGTTCTTCACGTTTGACGGAACAATTTACGGAAAGGCAGAAGGCACGCCAATGGCGCGCCGATTTCTGGAGTTACAGCTGAGGTGATCCTGCAATGGTTGGAGTCACTGGTCTTGCGACACCGCAGACCGAAATTCTAGGCCCGTTATGTGGCTGATGCCTTCGGCGTGTCTGAAAGGGATCAGGTGCTGGAATTCAAAGGACATCGCAATGCCATCTTTACGGACATGCAATTCACGATGGAGGAGGAGGAGGAGGAGGAGGAGGAGGAAAATAACCAACTGCCTTCCTTGACATTCCCATTTGCCGCAAAGATTGTGGTTGTCTGCAAATGAAAGCGTACGGAAAAGTGAATAATACGCCGCAATTACTAAGCTCCAACAGCAACCACACAATCAGCCGCAAACGCATTTGCGTAAGGACGCTATACCGGCATGGAGAAACACCTTGAAGTGAACCAGAAGACAAGGTTGTTGAACTGCAATATATTCGGTGGGTGCATAGAGCGTATGATTAATCGCGCAACTTCATCAGCCGCGGCATGCGTAAGCGTAATGTGGGAAAAACTCGCAAATATATTAACCTGCGAAGATACGACTTTAACTTCGCAAACAAAAACTGTAATATCGGAGGCAAACACTGAAGTCCTCCAAATCCGACCGTTTCACTTATGCAGGCTTTATTGCATTCCCGGTGACTATGAAGGCAGATGCTAGAACAGACAATGGAAAAAACTGGGATTAATAAGAAACAGGTGCGGATGAAAGTATAAGAATCTCTTCGTCAGGAGGGTAGGGCATTGGGAAAATTATATCGATTGTCTCGCCCTTCTGAAGTTGGATTCTAGGAAAAGACGCGAAGCTGGATGGAAAACGCAATTTGCGTACTTCAGCCAAACGGTGTATATCAAGGCCGCCTCCAGCTTATCACAACGGGCACTAGCTGTTCCTTCAGAGTAGATCTGGCAGGCGTCGTTGAGGAATGAAATGATGATGAAGGGAATCCAGCAGAACAAACAGCTTGCTAAAACAGTAGAAGAAAGGTCAGTTGTCGGCGGTTCGGATGAAAACGACTGTGAGTTAGTGAGAGGCGTCCTGTGGGCTATGTGTTTCACAAAGTTACTTCAAGTACTCTAAGTAGCTTCAAACATTTTTATCAGATTGTAGTTTATAGCCCTGACTGTGGATGACATACCTAAGCTGCCATTTGTACGAGAGCGTTGGAATTAGGGTATTTACGGGTAGGGTAATTGCATGCGCAGATAGATGGGGTGGTAAGGTGTACGCAACGGAAACCATGTGCATAAAAGTCAACGGAGTTTATATAATCTGAATAACTGGCTGAAATATGAAACGCAGAACGAGGTGCGAAAATTCACCGTGGTATAATTTAATAGGACGGATAGGCAAGAAGATCTCAATGACCAGTTGAACGTGAAAAGCACAGCAAACGCAATGGATATGAGTGGACTGTGTTGTATAAGCAGATCAAATAAAGAATAAATCCAATTACGGTAAGGCTTTAGGGAAGATCAGTAAAAGGGAAGATCAAAAGGGAAGATCGGTAAAGTTAAGCCAAAGAAGAAGGGGGAGGCAATGGTTTGTAACCTATGTTTACTTGCTTTTGGCGCAGTGAGCAGTCCACCGCATGACATCCGGGTTGTGATTTCCGATTTACCATCCAGTCGTCATTCACTAAACACTGAAACCCTAGTCCTAACCCTAATCCTAAACAGTAAACACTAAAACCCTAACCCTAAACCCTAAATATTGAAACCAAAACACCAACCCCAGCCCTAAAAACTAAAACCCCAATCCTTACCCTAAAACCTAAGCCTAACCCTAAAAACTGACGCTAACCCCAACGCTAAACACTAAAATCCTTATCCTAAAACCCTAACCGTTACCCTCAAGCCTAAACCTTGCCCTAAAACCTAAACCTAACCGCAATCCAAACCTTGCGCTGAACCGCATTACCTAACCTTCACCGAAGGATTACGAATTCAAGGTAATCACGCCTACTGATAGCAAGCAAGTAGTACAAGATGATCGTCTAACAAAGTTTGACTAGAGGTGAAACCTGGCCATCACTTTAGTAGAAGGCACTTGTTTCTGAAGTTATTGTGGATGTGGCATTCAGGATATTTTCTCTAACAATGATGATATCTTGGAGGATTTAACTACCTTGGAGTAGAAGAACAACCTTCCATTTAAATAATAGAATGCTCAAAGCGGCATGCTGTAGTGCAATTTGCCATAAGTGCTTAAGGAACAAACAGCAGCAGAAGGTGGACAAAGACACGGCCAACTGGTCCTGTCCAAATGTCATATTTGCTAAAAGTTACTAAAGGATTCCTGGTGAAACTACTATGAAAAGTGGTTGGGTAAGGCCACAAAGTTAGATTTGGCCTGTATGACCTTAAATGCAATTAAGGTACTGAACACTTAGTCACAGCAACCCAGTCAAATTTTTCAAAATCTCACAGATGGAACCAGACTATGCTCGATGTTCGATCTCACACTGTTTTTGATGCCTTCACGTAGGAGAGAGTATTCCTAGAGCGTGTGATGCCGTTACGCCCTTCGGATTCTACTTTAACTGAATACAGCAATAGATATGAGATGAGGAAGAAGTGTATTGAATTGGTAAGCGTGAGAGCGGTGGAGTACAGGCGAATGGGAAGACTGTATCCAGAGCAAAATGGTCAAGATCCCGCTGGAACCATCATTAGATCCTCGGCTTCATTTTGCACTTAAAACTTGGTGACGTAAGGGCGATTTAAATCCTTAATGGACATGATTTTCAATATTGGCTAGGTTAAATATGCTTTCATAAAATATGGACCGGAAGTCCGGTCATATGGTTTCTATAGTAAAACATTTCGCCTCCAGAACTTGCCTCAAAGTAAATGCATTGAACACACGCAGTATAAAACACGAAGAAGCTGAGTATAAAAATCGCCTTTGCTGCGATTGTTAAAGACGGTTAGAAAGTCAGATATCACTGCGGCAACTTGTCATATACTGAATGCCAACTCACCGGTAAATCCGACGGCCAGCATGCTAGTGCGCTTCTTGACATGCGTTCGAATTCTATCAGAAATCAGGAGAGGTCGTTTGCTTCTCCTCTGAGACTCTAAGCAATCTGAGCTGTTTTTGCCGCAACTTATTATGCGCAATTCTCTGTCTCCAGCTTCCTCTGGATGTAGTTGTTTCCTCGTCGGCTGCTCAACATTCTCACCTTTTTCTTGCGTGCCATCCACCTTCGCAGTTTCAGGCTCCACCTGTACAACTTCAGTGATTTTCGTGCAGAGAGGATTGGGAGTGGAGTTCATAAGTGGCTCACTGTTGGCGCTTCGGAAGTACTCGATTTCAGACATGGAACACTGCAGATGCGAACATGTTTTTTCACGAAAACGGAGAAATGTAGTTCGTCCGCCCTCAATCAGCACCACCAACGTTGAGACATCAGACGAGCTTCGAAGTCTCTCCGGTTGGCTTGCAGTGTTGGGGGTCAGCCAGGTATTGACACGCAGAAACCTGCTAAGGTCACTTCTGTCACTGAAACCGAGTTGGTCGTCTGTTGTTCGCCTTCTGCCGCTTAACACTGTAGGCGCAAACGGCGGCCTCTTGAAATCCTGTTCAGAGGACTGACAGCCTGGGAGAGGGCTGCATAATTCAGATGCCACCACAGCCTGGGGACGCGTTTGCGCAAGCCCACTCGCCAGTCCAACGTGTGCGCTGTTGCCTTGCCAAACAGGTCTATGAACATTTCTGTTGGCCAATTTTGAAGGTGGCCTTCGGTAGCGGTTCAGCTCTCCGCGTGGGTAGGTTTGTCTCACGTACGATAAATGGCTTTCTTGTGATGACGATGAATTGCGTCTGACGCAAAACAATTTCAGCTTGCAGGCATATCTGCCAGTTCGGCGTCTCTTTCGGACAGCCATGACAATAAAGAAGTTTATGCAGATTGTGGCTAGCAGGGGCAGATAAACGCAGAATATGGTGTTGAGGAGCAGAAGTCGACGGCCATTCCGAGCATATGCAGGGCAACACATGAATATTGGAATGGGGACAGTGAACATCAGCACGACGGCCCATAGGAAGAGAATGATGGGACGGTGAGCCGATAATCTTTGATATTCTTGGTAGCGCAGAGGATGGAGAAGGGCCAGTAGTCTGCGGAATAAGCAGGGATAACAAGAGAAAGGCATTTTATACAACCATATGGACAAGTGCGTCTAAATCGCAATAATTGGACGATCTAATTAAACTTGGTTACGAGTGTCTTCGACAGCAGTTTCGGTGTTTCTCGATACATTTTGAGTATTTCAAACGGTATGTCAAATGTATGCGCATTTGATGTGTGTGTGATATCAAAATGTTTCGGATGTATTCGACGAATAAGAACCCAGAGCATGCGCACAGCGTGCCACGCACATACTGAAGGCCTCGAAAATTTCGGTTGAAAAAATTAATTGCAGTTTACTCCTCTAAAAGTTTGTAAGCCTCCACTGAAATTTATGCTTATCGACTAAATCTTGCCATGGAAACCTCGTGATTAACGAGCTGAATTTAAGTGCAGAATAAAACATAGTGACTGCAGTTTCGTTGTGTTCATCTTGGTTCATGACGCGATCGCCTTGCTTGCCTTACATTTTAGATTCATACTCAAACCATGCCTCAGAGGCAGCTTCTGTTACGGGCCATTCATGCATTAGCGGTTGCGGCATTTTAAAGGAGGTAAGCTCTATGCCACCACATATATGAGAAAGTTACAGCTAAATTAATCGATTGAGATTTATCACAGCGCTGCATATGGGTGGAGCAGGTCATTGCACCTGCCATTGAAATGGAAGCCGGTGGAGCATGATTAAGGCAGCTCGCGTCTAAAGATGCTATCACCTCTCGCTAGAATTTCGAGTAAGATCGCAGTTGGTAGACAGACATTATACGTTGATACTGTCGACTTACTTACTTGTTATCTGTAGCTGTGCTTACCTTGTTTAGGGAACTTGCTCTTACTGATTTAGGCAGGTCGCGGATTTCGGACAAGCTGTTGGATTTAGTGAGGGTAAGGGTTGGCGCAGGCTATGTTTTGGGATAAGAGTTTGCGTTTGAGGATCAGGTTTCAGTGTTAGGATAAGGGTTAGGGCTATGCTTAAGGGCTAGAATCAGTGTTAGAGCTAAGGTTAGGGTTAGGTTTAGGGTTATGGCTAAAGTTTTTGTTAGCGTTGGGTTTTAGGATTTCGATTAGTTTTCTGTTTATTGGCATAGGTTTAGGCTTCAAGGTTAGGGTCAGGTTTGATTTTAGGGTTAATTTTCGGGTTTGGTTTTAGGGTTAAGTTTAGTGTGAGGTTTCCGTATTACAGTTAGGGTTTACGGTTAGGCTTAGGGTTTTACTTTTAGATTTTAGGTTTATAGTTGCGGTTAGGGTTTAGTTTTAAGGTTATGTTTAGGAGTAGGCTTAAGTGTTAAGGTTGGGATTACGGTTTAGCATTATGGTTAAAGTAACGGGTTAAGGTTAGGGTTAGGGTCAGTGCTAGAGCTAAATTTTAGGATTACAGTTACGGTTGGGTTTTAGGACTTAGGATTAGGTATTTGGGTTACGGTTAGGATTAGAGTTCAAGTATGAAGTTAAGGTAAGGGCCAGGGACCTCGCCGTCCGCATCCACATTCCTAGCTACCAACTGCGATCGAACCGAATTTCGATCTCGTCAAACTCGAAGATAATGTCGGGTTCCGTCCCAAGCTGCAACTTAGGAGCTGGTTTCATTTCTCCGCAGCGCTGTCGCTTGACGTTCATTATCTCCGACGATTTTTGTCCGCCGGCGTCTGCCTCTGATGTAACAAAGGATTTCAGACGTTTCTTGCCGCGACAGTAGACCTCTCGATCTCATTGTATTACGCGGACTCAATTTTCAAACGAACATATCTGATTTTCTTAGCACAAAAGCCAACAAATTTGCAAGCTTTCTAACCTTGTCATCTGCACAAGCAAATTTTGACTTCTGCACAAATGAATCGGAGGTACTAGGTAACTGTCTATTACTTGCCATCTTATAATAATAATAATAATAATAATAACGTGTTTTGAAAGGTACTGACGCCTCATCTCGTGGTAAATGTGGTTTGAGGAGTAGATTTGCGAGGAGATGGTAAGCAAAATCACAATGCCGAAATGTTTACCGAAGTGTCCAAACGGCTAGTTGGTGGAAGAGGGAGGACGCAGTGAAGAGTTTGTCCAGTGTTAGGAACACAACGTACGCATATTCTCTGCCCGGTCGCGCGATTCCTTGAATCTAAATTTCAGTTTCGAATTCAGTTTATTGAGGAAAATACAGGGGAGCGTCTTTGAACTTTCTATTGGTTACAGGTCGTCAGAGAAAAACATTGATAAGTGGGAAGATGAGGAAGTGATTTTATACATAATCGCGGACAGCTGACAGCTAGTCGAAAAGGTACTAATCAACGGTTACTTACTCTTTACAAATAGTATAAAGACGTATAAGTTGGTGCCGGGATATGTGAGTGGATGTGAGGCTGCTAATTGGGAAGCTTAATACGCGTCACGTCTACACTTGAAGGAATTAACCCAGGAGACGATTACAACATCGGTAGGTAGGACATTCTACGCTGCAACCACTCGGCCATTGAAAAAGAACTTTCGTCCATTGATTCTTGATTTCCCTGCGCGTAGTTTTAGGGCATGACCGCGCAAAGTGGGCGTGCTAGCTTGAGTGAAGAAATCAGTGGGATCTAAAAAAACAGTCCAGGCCATTGATACTACAAAATGTTAGTATAGGATCGTCACGTAATTGCCTGTAGGAAGGAGAAAAAAGGTTGAGAGTTGACATTCCGGTTTCATAGGGCAGCGCTCCCAGACCTTGTGTCATTTAGGTCGCCCGCCTCGGACCTGCTCCAGAGAGACTTACATTCGATTAGGGAGGAGAAAACTTAGCCCACCTTCTTTTAGACAATTAACTACTTCGATAATACGCATGGTCTAGGGACAGGAGACTTTACTGCGATCATTCAAGTAAAATGAAGCATGTGTTGTCACTAGCACGTTCATAGGCTGAAATTAATGCAGACAATTCCTGCAAGGTGGTCTGGACCGGCGACGCGTTAGTCTTGGTCTGCTACTGTCCTAACCTTGTTTGTCAGAAGCAAACGTAGTAATTCGTATTAAACGCCTCTAAGCTTGAGAGGAGGAAAACCTTCGTGATCGCATATCTCAGAAGTTACGGCAGCATCCAGCAGAAGGACAATATTTATGAAAGCAGTGCATTACCACTCCTCGATGTGGCACTTGCCATGCTTATTAAAAACTTCAGCACCGTTGTCTGTGTCCTTCCCTGCGGAAGTCAAGACCCCGTCTCGGTCCCCCAACACTACGCTACTGTGTGTGAGGCGAAAAAGTACGCAAATGTCTAAATATCTTATAATTACTCTTGTTGTTGTTGTTGCTGTTGTTGAAGTGGCCAATATTTTAGATGACGCATATGAAATGCTTACACCGGCGAGGTCCTTTCACTACTTCTGCTACACATTAAACAATCCGGTTCTTCTTTTCCTCTTCTCCATCGGATGTTTGCTATGCAAACGGGGGAAATTAGGATTTAACTGCAGGCCTTTTTAGTCCCGCGTTTCCTTTGTTGGTAACACCTACTTTTATTCAGTGACTACCACAAATTGCATGACCACAGCTGCTATTGGTAAGGACCAACTACTTACACGCTCCACAATTACAATATAAACAGACAATACACATATCGAAACTAAATCTTGGTTTTAAGGGAAAGTGCTGGTCAAGGTCAACATCGGATGTGCTATTTTAAAGACAGTAAAAGCAATGCATGCGAAAGATCATCAGGGCGATAGCAGAAGACGAAAAAGAATTGGGTTTTCTTACAAACATAGAATGCAACAAAAGGGGGAGTGCTTCGTCGAACAGGATGAATAAAAGGGACGTGGTGGTGGTGGTAGTGGTGGTGGTGGCGGCGGCGGCGGCGGCGGTGATGGTGGTGTTGGTGGTGATGGCGATTGTAGCGGACATGTTGTTATTTGAGAATACTATTGGGCTTGTATGTCTGGTTGATCCAACAAATATGTTAAAAATAGTGTTTCCGATCAAATACCAGTTTTAACTGAAAATGCTCTAAACCTCTAAGCTCTGTGTTTTTAAAAGCCAAACGTCTACATCATTTATGTACAGGAAGATCAGCGTCATATCTTGTTTAACAGTACTCCAGAACGTTCTCTTTCACTCCCTAACTTCGGCTGCTTCCCAACTATACAACTGGCTTCACCCTACCATTCACCATTGTTTCATAGGTATTTTAAGCAATTTAAAAACAGTCCTTGCATATTTTCGGCCAGGGATAGTGTGAATTCACGCATAGACGTGAAATGAAAACATCCTATCAAGTAGGCTAGTTGTTCTGCAGTAGTCTGACCACATTTAAACTGACTGGAATTTCAAACCAAATCTGCCTTTAGGCAGGTAGGAAATGGGAAAGCCTGAGTACTTAGTAAAACCAGCAAATACATTAAAATTAGTCAGTCAGTAAAGACGAATCACTTGCCTGAACCCAGATAACCACCGGCACGACTGTAACGGCTTGAAACATGTCCGACAAAGCCCATCCCCATATTATCCAGTTTGTTAATGTCCACATGTTCCTATTCTGAATAACCAGTCTTGTCGTGTAAACATTGACCACCAGCATTAGAATCGGTATCACTAACAAGATTGCGTGTTCATAATTCCTCTCATCCTCTCTTTCCGTCCTCATTGCACCAACAGCGTTTGTGGATTGAGTGGAACATGTTGGGGTGTTTTACATAGTGTCGACGGGGAACGGCCTGAGTAATAAAATGGTGATAATTGATATTAACACGAATATCTCATGAGTGAGATGATGAACTAGTCTGACCGCAAAATTATCACTGCCTGACATTGAGTGCTTTTTATACTTCATTGGTCCATTGGGTCCGAAGTTAAACCGCCAACGTGGTGGCCGATGAGGCCAAGCAAACGGGGAAAGGTCATTGGGGTGTCTCTCGTATTCCTCCGTTCTGGTCCTCCGCCATTATGTATGTACTTTATCCGCGCTGTCTCAATGCATATGGACACTAACGTCTCCTACTACTGAGCATTTTGAAAGACAGATGGGGTTAAAGATTTCCCTGAAAGCAGTGAGTGATCAAATGAACTTCAAGGGGTTGTAAATGGTTGCTCTGATGATCTTAGCTGGATTCACTTTCTGAGCAGCCGCAGATCCCGTATATTCGGTCACACATGAACGAGGCCCGATGTCATCATTCGTCTACGTTTTGCTTCAATAATTCCGACACGTTCGGGTATGCGGGATGCAACTATAAGGTCACCGCATAGTTGCCTGTTGAAAAGGAGAGTTGACAGTCTGGTTTCGTATGGCAGTACTTTTAGACCTTTTGTCATTTCTGTCGCCCGTCTCTGGAATTTCTCTAGGACGGTATAGTCCTTGAAAGTCCAAGCTCTTCACGCCCGTATGGCGTATTTAAGATGAGGCCGCAAAAGGTGCCAAATATTTTGGAAAATCAGTCATTGTCAAATCCTATAAAGGCTTTATGAGTTGCAATGCAGCAATATCCGACTTAGCCACCTTTGAGCAGTTCATTGTTGGTTTGAGTGAAGATGTAATCCACACACCCAAGTCCTTCTGACCGTAAACTTGTTGCAGTGGTATACCGTGAAGAAAATAAGTCCTGGAGCTGGTGGCTCTATAGCCGTCGAGTTGAAGGAATTTGCACTTACTCATATTGAAATGTATAAGTCAGTGCTCCTAACAGTCCTCGAGCCTGTCAAAGTTTGTTTGTAGGGGGTCTCCGACTGCTTGATTGTGAATACTTTTCCCCAATTTTACGTCGTTACTATACAGGATGGCATCACAGTCTAGGTCCTTGACGCAGTCATTAATGAAAAGGAGAAATAACCTGGGGTCTAAGACCGGGCCCCGTTGGACGCCACTCACCACACTTACCCCTGAGGACTGTCGGCGTCCAACCTGCACTCTTTGGGACCGTCCAGCCAAAACGCTCTGGATCCATATAGGGAGGCGTCCAAAAATTCAAGCGTTGCGCTGTTTGTGCATGAGACGTTGGTGGGGAACGCTATCGAAGGCCTTTTTAATGTCGATGTAGATGGCGTGCACCACATCGCCTTCGTTGCATGTTTTGGTCCAGCGTTCGAGTAAAAAGAGCAGATTCGTGACACAGGGCCTACGTCTTACAAAATTGTGTCGGGTATCGGAGAGGAGGTGATGCTGCTCGATGAGCTGCATCAATGCTTTCTTGTCGATTTTCTCCATGACTTTGCAACAAATGGAGGTAAGACTTGCTGGCCTGTAGTTATTTGCAGATGCACGATATCGACCCTTAAAAGGCGGGGTGATGGTATCGGAATTCCAATTGGAGGGTGGGCAACCAGTAGCAAATGACGCTTGGAAGAGCAAGGCTAACGGTTTGGACATTTCGGGGGTTGGCTCCTTCAGCAGCTTGGCTGAGAGTGCATCAGGACCCCGGGAGGCTGATTGTTTCAGGTTAAGTAACTCTGAGGAAGAAGAAGAGTCGAGCACCGGAACACTTCGTTTATTATCCTGAGCTTTCAGACTCGTACAGGAGTCCATCGTCAGAGGAAATGGCAGAAACAAGATAAGCGGCAGTTATAAGGCACGTTGGGCCGACGTGCCTACAGATGTTGTTATGCCTCCACCCCTTCTGTTTTCCCTGTCCCTGCAGGACAGTTGAAATCCAGGCAGCATAAGTTCCCTATCATCAACAAGTTCGGGCAACCGTGTTCCTTATAAATGCAGTTTGGTGTGGCGTTCTTCGGTAGAATGTCTTTAACTGGTCTAACTTGAATAGCCATTGCAATGCATATGAACAACAATTTAGAGGCGGCGTACGTTCATTCAATCGTGCATCGAAGTCGTCGCTTGATCACGTTTGACAGATTACCACCTTTGAATGAGAGGTAAATGCTCACCGGCTTCTTTAACACGGATATTTCCACATAATTTCCTTGTTTTGGATGGCGATACTGATCAATCAACTTCTTCGGATATCCATTTTCAAGAAAAACGTTCGTTAGGCAACTGAATTCTTCGTTGATCGTATTTGGGGAACAGATCCTAGTGGCTGTATTGAAGAGGCACAAAACCAAGTTTCATTTTCTCTGAATTGGAACGAAACTGAGGAAGTGCATATATTGTCCTTTCCAGGTGGTTTTTTGGCAGATGGATTTCTGAATGGAACCATCTGCTCGCCTACGTACAAGGACGTCTAAAAGGCAGTGTGTCGCTTTCCTCATGCTTAATCGTAAACATGATCTTTTCATGTGCTTTTTTCATGGCCTTAAGTAGTAATTCTCCGTCCCTTGGGTTTTTGACTATGGCGAAAATGTCAGCCACATATCACCTATATAATGCGGGTTGCTAAAAGTTTTGATCTAATTAAGATGCCACGAAATCGAATGACGTCAATAAATTCGACATGTTTCTTCGTGCTTGCCTTGTTAAAAATTATTCCTGGAAAACAACCATGTTTCTGTTATTGAGATCACGTCTGGGCGGAAGTCGCAGATATGAATTTGGAGTTCATATAGTTTGGAACCTACACTTTGAGCGTTAGTATACATAAATGTGAGTTTCGAGCGAGATTTGTTTATAACCCTGACACAGACTAAACGCGTACCCTCGCGGTCATTTGAATCGGCTTGAGCCAGAGGGGAGTAGAGCGTCGTTTTACTATCTGGTTTTTACAGGTTACCAAGTTCTGTTCTCCATTGGTTCGCCGTGTTCTTACTTCTACGACAAGTTCGTGGAGTTTCATTCTCTAGGCAAATGAGTAGTCCGGCTGAAAAAACACACCTTTTGGGAATGCCTCAGTCGAAAACACCTAGAAAGGATTAGTTTCACCTGCTCATTGCAGCCTAGGACGATTTTAGAGGTCGTGGTCGCGTCTGAGGAGTGGCATCTGCAAGGCTACCAAGTCGAATACGTTGTAGTGTTTAGGATCAGTACGGCGTGCACTTGGAGTGACTGGCTGGAGAACAGAGAGGTAAACTTAATTAGCCCTTCTAAATGGGGCCTTTATGACATTCGCGCGCACGTGATATCCGATCCACCCTCCGTGAAATCCTGGTACGATTTGTAGGACCGGATCGTGCATGGCGGCCGCAGGTAATCATATTTGTTTCGTCAAACACGACGCCCGAACTCACCTCCAGCCGTCATAACACCGTCTTGCCATCGGAACCTAGTGAATGAGGTTGGAGAGAGTGTGATATGTACTGTGCAATTCCTCCGCCCTATAAGCTGACCAGCGCGCACATCACGGCCCTACGCCCACTCTGTGGGGCACACAGTGGACGCTGTCTCTTGCGACGGCCAAACTGCTATAAGGGTCAAAATAAATAATAACGTTGTAGAAGGATTATGATGTTAAGAAAAACAGGTGAAAATTTTCACAGGGATTTTCACTCAGGGGGATATGCGAAGAGAAGCTGAGACTCTGACTGTCCAAACGGAAATCGACATTCCTATTCAAAGTTATGTATTTTAGAGTGACTGTTTTGCGCACGTCCCGACACCTGCTATAGTTGTAGGAAGATCTTGACATGTTAACTAGATGCGTGTTGGATGTCTTCCATGTTTGAGAGAGAAACCGTTAAAAATGCATAGTCAAACATCCAAGGAAGATCGGATAATTTTCGGTATTCGGGTTGGGGAGGCCGTTCGTTTCCAAGGAGTGAACGTCAATTACTCAGCCTATGTTTCTTAATAGTTCGAGAGACATCAATGGTATTGAGAATTCGATATGCACGTTTGCGAAAAGAAGGAATTGATCAGAATAGTAGGATAATGTGTAAGATATGCTATGCACCGAAGAAATCCACTTTGTAAAAATCACTGATGTGTCGGCCTTCACTCCCATCTAACAAACAGGGCATTTCATAAGTTTACTTTAGGAGGACCTAAATTGTGTTGATTTTCTGGGGATTTCGTGAATTTC